CCCCCCCCCCCCCCCCCCCACCTCTTCAGATTCGCTTTCATGAGTATCGCTTACTAGTTCGCGGCGTCCACCAGTTGTCAGCAAGACAAGTAACCAATTTACACAAGTAAGATGAAGTTTTCCAGTTGTATACAGCTTAATACTTTTCAAAAAAAAAAAGAAAGAAAATCTATATCAGGCGCTGCTCAGACGAGAAGAGTACTGCTTTCGCTGTTTCAGTTTTGCCGGTGTGCGAAACGGAGATGAGAAATAAAAGTTAAGATCATCAGGATGTAATTTAATTAATACGAAGCTGGAAAATTTGCGAGCAAAAAACCTGCTTTTTGCTGAGCAACATTTTGCAGGTAAAAATTTGGAGATTACAATTTCCAATAAAAACGAGTATAAGCCCCATCTGCGAACATTTGTACGTCACATACAATTTAAATCAAACAAATTTAAGTGTACGCAAAAGGAAGCGCAGCGAAGTTATGCATTTATGCGATAACACCGCTCGAAACCAGCAAAAACACGCCGGAGCAGCAAGCGCTCCCCCCGTACTGCGTCTCGAGTTTTGACCAAGGTTACACGGTTCGGTGAAAATAAATGGGGTTTTTCGAAAGAAAACCCATTTTTTTGCTGCAACTATTAATATTAATGAGCAAAATTTTGGCGCAAAAAGATGAAATTTTTGATGCAAATAGATGGGTTTAGTTAAGTGAGAATACAAAAATTGGATTTTGAAAGGTGAGAAAACAGAGCAGTTGCTGAGAAGCCTGTTGCTTGAACAGCTGTTTTGAAGGGGGCACTATTACCAGGGCAAATGGGTGTGGATTAATCCAGAATTGCACTGCAGGGCAGCACACCGAACGGAGCACTATAAAAATAAGGTATAACCAAGTCGAACTGGGATGAAGGGAACGGGCTAAAAATGCACTGACAATAAATCAAAATAGTCCAATTTTAAATATAAATTCCCTTTTTTTAATAGCATTGTAAATTATGAAAAAACGACGAAATGAAATGAATGTTTTTTTCTGTTGGTTTCTAATTTCACCGAAAAAAAAAGAAAAAATGCCGTTTCGATGGGAAATAGATACTGGAATGCAGTGCCAGAGAATCAAATTCGCCATCAGCTGGCTTTAATGGATCAAAATTCAATTTTTAGACAGAGTAATTAGGGATTAACTGATCTCTAATGGGTTCCAACAGGAATTGCTTCAGCTTCCTCTGCACGAAGATAAATGTCTGCTGACGTATTCGCAATTTTCGAAACGAGTCGAAGACCAAAGACTATTCAACAACAACCAAAAAATTAATTAAAGATTTCCTAGACAACTTGGCAACGACCACTATGAGAGTGTTGCTCTGTTCAAGCATAAATTTTATCATCCAAAGATCAAGAGAAATCTATTCAAACTGTGAAAATTGAGATGCGATGCGAGTGAGTGGGATTTTCACACCATGCGAATCAGAACACAGTTGAGGGGCGCTTTCTG